AAAACCAAGATTCATATATACTTACAAATCTTAGTTCTTTTCTGTTCTTTGGAATTAAAAAGCCATCTGAAACCTAAAAAATAAAAGTAAAAAACAGTTATTAATAACCGTTCATAATATTTTTTTAAAAAAAAAATAAAAAAACAAAACCAAGATTCGTATATACTTACGAATCTTGGTTATTTTCCATTCTTCGGAACCAAGAAGCCACCCAAAACCTAAAAAAAAGAAAAGAACAATTATTAATAACCGTTCATTAATAATATTAAAAAAAAAAGAAAAAAAAATTAAACCAAAATTCGTACTTATCTTACGAATCTTGGTTTTCCGTTCTTCGAAACTCAAAAACCCACCCACTGACTTAAAAGAAGAAAGAAAAAAAAAACGAAAAAAAAAAATTACAAATGTTAATAAGCGTTTCGTTAAAAAATGTAATAAAAAAAATCGAAACGTTAGCCAACGTTCTGATTAAAGAAAAAATCAAAAAAAAAAGTTTCAAAACATTAAAAAACGTTTTGTTAAAAAATGAAATACAAAAAATTGGAATGTTAACCAATGTTCCGATTAAGAAAAATAAAAAAATAAATGTATTTTCAAAACGTTAAAAAATGTTTCGTTAAAAAAAATGAAAAATAAAAAAATTAGAACGTTAAGCTAACGTTTCGATTAAAAAAAAGAAAAAAAAATTATTAACGAAACGTTAAAAATGTTTTGTTAAAAAAAGAAAAAAAAATGTAAATAGGAACGTTAACCAACGTTCCGATTAAAAGGAATGAAAAAAAAGTTAATAACGAAACGTTAAAAACGTTTTGTTAAAACAAGAAAAAAAATGTAAATCGGAATGTTAGCCAACGTTCCGATTAAAGAAGTTAAAAAAAAGAATAAATGAAACGTTTTTTAACGTTTCGTTAAAAAAGTAAAATAAAAAAATAATCAGAACGTTAGCCAACATTCCGATTAAAAAAATGAAAAAAAATAATAATAATTCAGAACATTTTTCAACGTTCTGATTAAAAAATTGAATAAAAAAAATAATCAGAACGTTAGCCAACGTTCTGATTAAAAAAATTAAAAAAAAAATAATAATTGAAACGTTTTTTAACGTTTCGTTAAGAAAATGAAATAAAAAAAATAATCAGAACGTTAGACAACGTTCTGATTAAAAAATATAAAAAAATAATAATTTTCAAAACATTTTTTGACGTTTCGTTAAAGAAAGTGAAAGGGAAAGTGGGAAAATGGGACGAAAGGGTAATGATAATATTATAATATGTGTAATGATCGTTGAACAATGCAAGTCGTGATATGATATATATAAAATACTTTGAAAATTATGTTAAAAAAATTTAATTTCTTTAAAAAAAAAGGAAAACGAAAGGGAAAGGGAGAACGAAAGGGTAATGGGAAAACAAAAGAAAGGAGAGAAGGAAGGGGAGAAGGAAGGGAGAACGAAAGGGTAATGGGAAAACAAAAGGGAAAGGAGAACGAAAGAGGAAAAAGCAAAAAAAAAATTAAGCTTTGCTAAAAAAAGCTTAATTTCTTTTTTTACTATACCGCAGTCCACAGCGGTAATTAGTTAATCCAGTATCACATGATACACGTGATATAGAGTATGCTCGAAATAAAATTTTTTTTAAATATTAATTATAATATGTGTATATACAGTATATATTTAAATTAAATGGTACAGTGGTTAGATCGTGAGATAATTAATAGTATGAGGTATTCAGTTCAGTTCCTAAGGTGAGTAAAATAATAATTTAATTAAAATTGTTGTATGTGTTATGTTAATATACAGCGCGTTGAACAACAATGCATAATGTGTTGAACTACACATTAAAGTTGAACAACGCGTATATTAACATTATACGTTAATATACTCCAGTATATGGATGTTGATTAATATTATAAATCGTGTTGAACAACTAGCTGTTGTTGATCAACGCGTATACTGGTGTGAATCAACACTTTTCAAACTTGCTGATGTAAAATTAAATAGTAAAAGTAAACCAAAATAATTAAATCAACATACTATACTATAAACCAAAATTAAACTAGAAAGAAAACTAAAAGAAAAATGAAAGTAAAGTAAAATAAGTATTAGTTATTTACTAATCTAGTAGTATATAAATGGGTTATCATCTGAAGGATGATGGCCCATTTATATACTAAACTAGATCAGTAAATAACTTTTTTATCATCCTAGATATACTAATTGGTCCGCCAGTTTATAACTGGCGGAAAAAATCCTAAATACCAATTAGTAGCCAGGTGATAAAATAAATTATTTTTTTTTTTTTAAAAAAAATTATTACTCCAGTAATTTTTTGCTTATGTATAATGTAACCTTATCAAACTTCTTCTTTATTGGGATCCAATCCTCACATATGTATTTCTTTATAAAGGTATCCATTGATTTTTTTACTATAGGAATTGACTTTTGTACTCGATCTGCTTTTCTTGTTTGTATATCTTTTGCTTTATCTGAAGGTTGATTTAAGTTGTTTTTTATTTTGGGTTCTGAAGTAATTTTATCTGTTCGAGTAATGCCTTTTCTTTTTTCCCATAAAATAACTTGTTCACATCTTAGTTTCCATAATAATTCTTTAAATGTTAAAATGAACCTTATTAAAATATTGGCCATAAGTATCTGTGCCTCATTAAGAGTTATTTTAAAGTCTTTTTGTAATTTTGTTGTTAAATAAGTTTCAACTTTCACTTCCAATGCCAAGTGTTGGAACTTTTGGAATTTTTCTGATTTTGCTGTAACTCCTAATATATCTTGTATTACATTTCTAATAATAAAATCTTTACTTTGGCATTTAATTTGCTTTTGTTTTAAACATATAATTATAGATTCTTCTGTTGTAATCTCCAAAATTTTTTGCCAAATCAATTCATATGCTTGGCATTCAAATAAGTGATTCCAATTTTCCTCCTTGTTACAGTTCATAACACATTTCATTTTCTTATAAAGTTTTGGCTTTCTTAATGC